CTTCCCCCCGCCGCTGCCCGCCGCTGCCCACTGCTGCCAGCAACCGCTGCCCGCCGCTGCCCTCCAGCCGCCACTGCCAGGCGCTGGCTAGCCGCTGCCAGTAGCTTGCTCGCAACTCGCCGCCGTCAGCTTGCCGCCAGCTCACTATCTACTAGCTCGCCGCCAGCAGCCACCACCACCTCGCCACCGCTAGCAGCTCACCGCCAGTTGCTGCGTTTTCTAAGGTAGCTGCGTCGTGCTCCTGTTGCTCCCTCACCCACCCGACCCTTCTGTGGCACCACCGCATGGATCACCCTGCACTCCTGCGTCTTAGGCAAATGTCACAGCATGATCTAGTCACTGGTGTTCCTGCATTGCTCCCAGCCCTACCTCCGTCGGTAGCTCCCCTATGCACCTCCTGCGTCAAACAGCCAGCAAGGCGCCGCTCCTCACTCCTCGTTTCCTCCCACCATAGCATTGCTACAGACACTACACATGGACGTCTGGGGCCCCACCCTGGTCCATGGTCTTAGTAGGGAGCACTTCCACCTCGTCGTTGTTGATGACTTTACGCGCTTCACCACGGTGTTCTAGCTGGAGCGAAAGGGCGACGTGCCTGACGGTCGTATCCCATGGCTGCTCGCTGCCTGCACCCAGCGCCGTCTGCCCATGGGTCCGTCTGCACTCCGACCATGGTGGCGAGTTTGCCTAAGGCCATCTATGTCAGAACCCCCATCCGGATGTACACACTGCCAGACTCCTCATAGAAGAATGCGGTCGTTGAGCGATACATCGGCCTGGTCATGAAGGTAGCTCACACCTCCTTGGTCCACGCTGGTGCACCCCATTTTCTGTGGCTGTTCGTAGTGCGCTACTCAGCTCACCAGCTTAACCTGTGGTCGCGATCCTTACACCAACAGGTTTCGCCGACCCTCCTCTCGACCAGGTTCCCTGGTGACGCCTCTACGTTCCACGTCTGAGGCAGCCTTGCTGACGTTTGTGCCACTAGCGCGGACAAGCTCTCAGCCTGCACTCTCCCCTGTGTATTCCTTGGGTTTCTGCTTGACGCCCCTGACTGGCTGTTTTACCACTAGGTACAATACCACGTTTACCCCTTGCGTGACGTTACCTTCGATGAATGCTTCCTTTACCATGCCTCTCATAACCCTCCTCCTCCTCTCTTACTTGCCCTTACCTCGCCTGCCGCACCCCTTCCACCCCGCCTGGCCCCGTCTGTTCTCTCTCATGCCACCCCGTTCTCCTCGGTTGGGCCCGTGGGGGAATCTGCTGACTCTGGGGCCCCTATCGCTGGGGATGCGCCTGCCATCCCTGCGGCGCCTTCACCCCCAGCCCCGGTGCCCGAGGCACCTCAGCCGCCTCCCCCCTTGCCGCAGCAGCCGCAGCAGCCTCAGTAGCCGCAGCCGCAGCAGCCGTAGCAGCAGCGGGGGACACTGGACTCTAGGGGAGCTGATTCTGGGGGTACTAACTCTTAGGGTGTTGGTTCTGCGGGTGCTGGTTCTAGTGGTGCTGGTTCTGGGGGTGCCAATCTGCACAAGCCGATCTACCCGAGACGCCCATTAGGCTTCATTGGGTCCTTTCCACCTGGGACCCAGTACAGCCTGATGCACCCGGTTTACATCTGGGGCCGTCACCACGCGAGTGGCACGACACACTCCACAGCACGCTAGCAGCTCTTCACCCGTCCTCTGCTGACCCCAAGCTCTTTGTTCGTGCTGGTCAGATTCTCTTCTACATACTTGTGTACGTAGATGACCTCGTCTTTGCTACTCCTGACAGAGTCGCACTGGCCTCAATGAAGGCCGAGTTGCTCAAGCGACACGCCTGTATAGACTTGGGAGAGCCATGGCGCTGTTTGGGCATAGAGATCTCTCGTGACCATGCTGCACAGCAGGAATTGAAAGCAACGACAAGTGCAGAGACATGCTATGGAGGAGCAGTAGGGTCAGTGACAAGCAACGCAACCAAGCGGGAGAGGACTGGACGAGCAGTGCAAGCAGTGCCAGTGGGAGGAGCAGAGGACAACGGGAGGGACGACTTTTGAGGTAACGGAAGGACGGGAACCGGAGGAGCACAAGAACGAATGACCATAGGGTGGGTGTTAGGACAAAGAGAGACAGGACGACCACCACGGGGACGACGGATCCAGTGTGGAAGAACGGGGGACTGGGGACGAGGGGGACATGACAGCGGACGGAGGAGAGCACGAGGGGAAACGAGTTGGAGAGGAGTTGGGGGAAGGGGACAGCGGGCCATAGACAGGGTGAGGCAGGAGAGGAGGCACAGTAAGGGGGACAAGCGGTCAGTCACGGGAACTGGAGTAAACACCAAGGAGACGAAGGGCAGATTGCGGCAGCAGCAGCTGCTACTGCTGTTGCGGCTGCTGTTTTTGCTGCTGCTTCTACTACAACTGCTGGTGCTGCTGCGCTTGCTGCTCCCTTTCCTCTCCAGGATCTCCAGCTCCACCTCGGCTACCATCTGTACTCTCCGAAATAGCACCCCTAGGACTAGCACGGCCTGTCGCACCACCCAAAGAACCAGCACCCCCAGAGTCAGCACCCCCAGAAGCAGCACCCCTAGCACCCACTGCCCCTGGCTGCTGCTGCTGCTACTGCGGCCGATAAGGGTGCTCTGGCGGCTCCTAGTGCTGCTGAAGCGAGGGGGGAGGCTGCTGAAGTGCCTGGGGTACGTGGGATGGTGGGGGAGGCGCTAAAGAGACATCAGGTGCACCCCCATCAACGGGGCCCCCAGAGTCAGTAGACTCCCCCACGAGGGGAAAAGAGTGGCGTAAGAGACACCAGACATTGCCGGGCGGGTTGGGAGGGGTGCGGCAGGCAGTGCAGGAGGAAAGAGAGCTACGGTGAGGGAAGTGCCGGTAGTAGGGAAGCGGTGGTGTACCAGGTGGTAAAACAGCTAGTCAGGGGTATTAAAAGGAAACTTGAGGAAGGCATAGGGGAAAGTCTGGGCTGATAGCTTGTGCGCGCCAGTGGCGCGGACGTGACGAAGGCTGCCCAAACATGGAATGCACTGGCGTCACCACGGGACCCGATCCAGAGAACGGTCGTCGAAACCTCTGGGCGCAAGGAGCATGGCCACAAGTTAAGCTGGTGATCTGCGTAACGCACGGCGAACGACCACAGAAAGTGGGGTTCGCCGCCGTGAACCTAGGAGGTGCGAGCTACCTCCATGACCAAAACAATGCGTCGTTCAGTGACCCATTGTGCTGTGGGGAGTCCGGCAGAGTGTACATCTGTCAGATGCCCTCCACATGACAAAACTATCTTAGACGGCCGGGCGAACTCGCTATTACGGCCAGAGTGTAAATGAACCACGAGCAGGCGGCGCTGGGTGCGGGCGGCGAGCAGCCATGGGATGAGAGCGTCAGCCACTTTGGCCTTCCGCTCCATTAGGAACAACGTGGTGAAGCGCGACAAGGCGTCAACTACGACAAGGAGGAAGTGCTCCCTGCTAAGACCATGGATCGAGGCAGTGCCCCAGACGTCCATGTGCAGTGTCTGTAGCAGTGTTGTGGTAGGGGGAAACGAGGAGGAATGAGGGGTGGCGTGCTGCCGACCCTCGACGCAAAAGGTGCATAGGGGAGCTACCAACGTAGGCAGGGCTGGGGGCGACACAAGAAGACCAGTAAATAGATCATGTTGGGAAATGTGCCTAAGACCGTGCAAGTTTACCTATGCGGTGGTGCCACAGAAGGGTCGGGTGGGCGCGGGAGCGACAAGATTGTTGTGTGATGTCATCATATGCTATCACATTCTGTCTGCCTCCCATCCCATGTTTTTTCAACTTGCATGTGTGGTTTGAATGTGCAAGCATTTGTGTGTGGTGTGTTCTGGAGTTTGGGAATGTGTTTTGTGTTATTCTGTCTGAGCAGGTATTTGTGATAATAGATCTTGAGAAGATCTTTCCGACGCAACAAGAATCGCTTCAATCGGAGCAAGAACGCGAAAGCTATGAAGATTCAAAGTTCATGAGCTTGCGTTACAATTGCGGCGGTTACTAAGTGAAGTTGTGGGGTGACTTTATATGGAGTTGGGACCTTTGGGGTTGGGGAAACTTGTCACTCTACTGTAACAGCTGCAAATTGGTTGGGAACAACCAAGCTAGGTTGGCAAGGGTGGCCAACTTGGATGGATTGGTTGGGAAGGGACAAATGTCAAAGTTGGGGTTCCTATAGGGAGGGAATCTTTGTGCTTATGGGGTTTTCCTTGGTTGGGGACTCTCTTGGGACCTTCCCTCTCATCCCTCTCTTCCTATCCCAACCTTTCTCTTGCTCCTTCTAATTCCTTGTGAGATTCTTGAACTTTGATTGAACCTTTGAGATTGAGTTAAGTTCTCCTCCTACAGCTTACCCCCTAATGCGTCGAAAGCCATAGCGTCGCGAATACTTCATCAATCAACGTGATTCAAATTGGGAACGGTAGCTGAGATTAAGAGCTACAACATATCCAAGTTTCGCGACATTCCAACGGCTAGTTTTTCGTCGACGTCGTTTCTTGTAAAGACGACTTTTCTGTCCAGAATTTCGGATTTATATTTTGAGTAATTCTAGCTCCTAAGTTCACCTAGACTCCGTCCTTAATCCTAACAAGTGGTATCAGAGCCATATTAAGGACATTGAGAGGAGTCTACAGAAGTGTGAAGACCCTTCTAGACCCACCATGGCCTGTGGGTGTGCCTAAGTGGTGTTCTAAAGGTTGGATGTGTCTTCCGCTAAGGGGAAACTCTGCCGAAATTTCGTGGACGCCGACACTTGTGAAAATATCGAGGGAGCTGAGTGTGGACAGCAAAGGGGAGCTGAAATTCGTCATTTCTCAAGGAGAAGATGAATGAGAGAGGAGGAGATGCTAATGGAAGAGGAGCTGTACCTGAGAAGACAAGTGAGCCGCCGCCATCAAAAGTTGAAGCTTTGGATGGCTCCAACTATGAGGAATGGAGCGGACGGATGAGGAGTGCCTTCAAACGCTACAAGCTACTGAAGATTGCTGTTGGGGAAGAGAAGATGCCGGAAGAAGGCGAAGCACGTGAACGGTGGATTGAGAAAAGCGCGGTGCTTTTCGACCTCATTCTTCAATCGGTCAACAAGGAGATGTTCGAGCACATCAAGGATCTTGTGGAAGCGGATGATTCGGGTCCAAGGGCGTGGAAACTACTACGTGATGTGGTTCAGCCCAACACTCTCCTGATGGTGATCGTGCTCGAGAAGGAACTTGCTGCCATCTCCATGCAACCAGGGGACGATGTGAAGCCGGTCCTTGACAAGATCAAGGACACCTATGCAAGGATGGCAGCAGCGGGCAGCAGTGTATCTCAGCTGCAGCAGTGCACCAAGATCATCTCGGTGTTGGACAACTCTTGGGACAACCTCATCCCCACCCTCAACTCTCAACAAGATCAATGGACACCTGAGTGGCTAAGGCAGCAGATTCTGCAGGAGGACTTCCGCAGACGCCATGTGGGAGGCGGTGCTGCCACTAAGACTGCTGAGGGGTATGGAGCTGCAGGGCGCGGCAGAGGAAGAGGGGGTTGGAGAGGCCGAGGCCGTGGGAGGAGCTTTGGCAGAGGTAGAGGCCGAGGTGACTATAATGAGGGGCATGGGAGCTCTAGTGGCAGGGGGAGTACCAGAATGGAGGGCACCTGCTGGTACTGCAAGAAGATAGGGCATCCTTGGTTCAAGTGCTTCAGCAGGCCGGAGGGATGGGCACCTCCAGGCATGAAGCCACCCAGTGGTGAACGCGCACAAGGTGGCGCTGTGCAAGGCTCAGGTGCACAAGGTGAAGGTGCACAAGGTAATGCCTATCCTGGTTTGTTTCTTATGGTTGAGGATGTGCATGGGCATGAGGGTGATGTGGGATTTGTGGGAAAGGTTGTGATGCACCCTCTCACGCACTGGGTGATTGATTCGGGTTGCACCAGTCACATGACCCCACGGGCAGATTTGCTTGATGAGGTAAAACCCCCTGGGAAGATTAAGTATGTGGCAGCAGCGTCAGGTGCTTTGCTCCCCGTGATTGGTGTTGGGAATGCCAAGGTTAAGGGAGCTAATGGGGAGCTTGTGGGGCTTGGGAATGTTCTGCTGGTTAAAGGCTTGTCTGCTAACCTTCTCTCTGTGCGGCGGCTGCAGAAGAGTAAGGCCGAAGTGACCTTTGGACCAACCAGCTGCCGTGCTAAGCTTGGGAAGAAGGTGCTGTGGAGTCTGGAAGAGGAGACCAGCTGCATCAAGGACCTGTGGCAGCTGCCCATCATCCCTTGGAATGGGAAGACTCCAACAGCAGCAACGGCAGCAGTGGCAAAGGCAACAGCAGGAGGAGATGCAACTGCACCAACTGATGGGGTGCTGGAAGCAGTCAAGAAAGTGCAGAAGCAGCAGACACATGGTGAGGTGCTTGCTGGTGTGGATGCGAGTGCGGCATGGGCTAAGGCTTCATCAAGGAGTGGAGAGGCCGATTGGGAGACATGGCATGAGAGGTTGTGTCATGTGAACTTCCCTATGCTGCAGAAGTTGGTGAAGAATGGGAGCCTGAAGGGCTTGGAGGTGAAAGGGGAAGTGAAGGAGATTGGGAGCTGCCCTACATGCTTGGAGACCAAGTTCTCCAAGTTCCCCTTCAACAGTGCAACTGGACCATCCAAGACCCCACTTGCACTTGTGCACATGGATGTGGTGGGGCCCACAAGAGCCCCTTCCCTCTCAGGCAGCCGCTATTTCTTGACAATTGTGGATGACCACACTTGGGCAGTGTGGGTTTACCCTTTGAAGAGCAAGGGGGAGGTGGCAGCGGCTGTCCTTAAGGAGTGGATGCCGAGAGCTCAGAGGGAATGCGGACACAAGGTGAAGGTGATCCGTAGTGACAATGGTGGGGAGTTCATTGGAGCTGATTTTGAGGGGGAGTTGAAGAGGAAGGGGATCCAGCATCAACTGACAGTGCCCTACAACCCACAGCAGAATGGCGTGGCTGAGAGGTTCAACAGGACCCTGCAGGAGGGGGCACGCACTCTCCTTGGGCGTGCAGGGCTGCCTGATCCGTTTTGGGTGTCTGCACTGAGGCAGGTCGCCCTTGTGAAGAACAGGGTGCTGGCTACAGTTGGAGATAAGGAGTGGATCCCATACGTCAAGTGGTATGGGAGTGCTCCAGCTGTGAACATGCTGAGGGCATTTGGGTGCATGGTGGTGTTTCATGTGCCTAAGGAGAAAAGGGGGAAGTTGGAGGCTTCTGGAAGATGGGGTGTGCACTTGGGGATTGCAAAGGATCACAAGGGGTGGCTGCTATGGGACTTGACCACCCAGAAGTTGACAGTGTCAAGGGATGTGAAGTTTCTTGAGTCCCTGTACTACAAGGAATGGAAGCAGCAGCAACAGAAGCTTCCATCTACACCGCTCATTGTGGAGGCAGATGAGGTGCAGCAGCCTTCAAGACAGGTGGAGGTTGCAGTGTCAGAGGAGGAGATGTCTGGGGTGACTGAGGAAGGGGGAGCAGCTGAAGTAGAGCAGCAGCAGCAGCAGCAGCATGAGTCTCCACCTCGAGTTCCACACCCGCCTGAGCGTCCTAGGAGGGATGTGCGCCCTCCAGTGAGGCTGACCTATGGGGGAAGAGGCAAGCCGAATGTGGTGCAGGCTGGGAGTGTGGTTGAGCAGATTGAGGAAGATGAGATCGCTCACTGCTACTGGGCACCAATCCCTGAGCCCAAGACTCGAGAAGAGGCCTTGAATGGACCAAATGGGGAGAAGTGGAAGGCGAGTGAGGATGAGGAGTTCGGGTCCCTAATTGAGAACGAGACATGGGACCTGTGTGACTTGCCTCCTGGAAAGAAGGCAATCACTTCCAAGATGATCTACAGGCACAAGTATGGACCTGAAGGGGAGCTGACCCGCTACAAGTCTAGGCTTGTGGCACGGGGGTTTCAGCAGACAAAGGGGAAGGACTATGATGAGGTGTTTGCTCCTGTGGGGAAAGGAACAACACTGAGGGTGCTGTTGGCGATAGCTGCACTCCTGGGATGGAAGATTCGGCAGATGGACATTGTGACTGCCTTTCTGAATGGGATCATTCTGGAGGAGGTGTACATGAAGCAGCCAGAGGGGCTGGATGATGGGAGCGGCAGGGTCTGCAGGCTGAAGAAGGCCATCTATGGCCTTAAGCAGGCGCCTCGTGCATGGTATCACAAGTTGGAGGAGGCGCTGCTGGCTGGGGGTTTCAAGAAGAGTGAGTGTGACCCCAGCCTGTTCCTGCTGCAGGAGAAGGACGAAATCCTCATGCTCTTGGTGTATGTGGATGATATCCTTCTCTTTTCTGCATCAACTGCTTTGCTGGACAGCGCAGAGCAGATGCTGGAGATGCAGTTCAAGTGCTCCAAGATGGGTGAGGCGAAGTACTACTTGGGGATGCATGTGGAGAGAGATGTGGAAAAGGGTGTGCTGAGGTTGCACCAGAGGAAGTACTGTGAGGGGCTGGCTGAGAAGTATGGGCTGCAAGATGGGGGAAAGCCAGCAACACCACTACCTTCAGGGTTTACTGTGGAGCCATGTGCTGATGAGGAGGTAGTGGGTGATAGTGACAGGAAGCTGTTTCATTCGATGGTTGGGTCGCTGAATTATGCTGCAAATCATACACGGCCTGACATTGCATTTGCTACATCACGACTGGCTAGCGTGGTTTCACGTCCTAGTCATGAGCAGCTGGAAGCGGCCAAGAGGTTGGTCCGCTATGTGAGTGCTACGGCATCAGTGGGATTGGAGTACAGTGGAGTGAGGCAGCGGTTGCAGAGAGGTGCTGCAGATGTGAAGAGTGGTGAGATGCTCTTGAGTTGCTATACTGACGCTAGCTTCAACTCAGTGAAAGCGGATGGCACCAGCATTGGGGGTTATGTGTGCTTGCTGGGAGGTGGTGCTGTGAGCTGGCGCAGCAAGAAGCAGAATGAGGTGGGATTGTCTTCATGTGAGACTGAGTACATGGCCTTACACCATGGGGCCAAGGAAGTGGTATGGCTGAGGCGTTTGTTGGAGGAGTTGGGAGTTGGTCAGGAGGAGCCGACAGTTGTGTTCTGTGACAATGAGTCTGCAGTGAAGCTGGCCAAGAATGCTTGTCTGCATGGGCTGACAAAACACATAAGGCCTAAGTGGCATTGGGTGAGGAGACTCCTTGATAAGGAGGTGCGGCTGGAGATAGTGAAGACCCATCAGCAGGCAGCAGATATTTTCACTAAGCGTCTGGCGGAGGCGGATCATTGGAAGGGCATGAAGCTTGCTGGGATGAGTGTGCATTGAGTATGCATGCTTGAGATGTGGTATGGTCGATGATGGTTGGCAGCCAGAGGGGGAGATTGTTGTGTGATGTCATCATATGCTATCACATTCTGTCTGCCTCCCATCCCATGTTTTTTCAACTTGCATGTGTGGTTTGAATGTGCAAGCATTTGTGTGTGGTGTGTTCTGGAGTTTGGGAATGTGTTTTGTGTTATTCTGTCTGAGCAGGTATTTGTGATAATAGATCTTGAGAAGATCTTTCCGACGCAACAAGAATCGCTTCAATCGGAGCAAGAACGCGAAAGCTATGAAGATTCAAAGTTCATGAGCTTGCGTTACAATTGCGGCGGTTACTAAGTGAAGTTGTGGGGTGACTTTATATGGAGTTGGGACCTTTGGGGTTGGGGAAACTTGTCACTCTACTGTAACAGCTGCAAATTGGTTGGGAACAACCAAGCTAGGTTGGCAAGGGTGGCCAACTTGGATGGATTGGTTGGGAAGGGACAAATGTCAAAGTTGGGGTTCCTATAGGGAGGGAATCTTTGTGCTTATGGGGTTTTCCTTGGTTGGGGACTCTCTTGGGACCTTCCCTCTCATCCCTCTCTTCCTATCCCAACCTTTCTCTTGCTCCTTCTAATTCCTTGTGAGATTCTTGAACTTTGATTGAACCTTTGAGATTGAGTTAAGTTCTCCTCCTACAGCTTACCCCCTAATGCGTCGAAAGCCATAGCGTCGCGAATACTTCATCAATCAACGTGATTCAAATTGGGAACGGTAGCTGAGATTAAGAGCTACAACATATCCAAGTTTCGCGACATTCCAACGGCTAGTTTTTCGTCGACGTCGTTTCTTGTAAAGACGACTTTTCTGTCCAGAATTTCGGATTTATATTTTGAGTAATTCTAGCTCCTAAGTTCACCTAGACTCCGTCCTTAATCCTAACAAAGATCACGACACGATTACCTCATTAGACGCAGCAACTGGTGTTAACTCAATGTGCAATGTGAAGAGACCGGACGCTGGGTCACGCTCAAAAGTGGCTAGACATCTACCCGTGACTGTGTTTGTATAGGCTGCGTGTCTCTCGTGGCCAGGGAACATGGTGGTTACTCCTAGGTTCTAGATGTGATCTACACCAACTAAGTTCCTGGCAAACGAGGGGATGTGCAGACCTTTGAGAGAGCTGGAGGGGACAACTAGATAGGGGAGGGGGTGGTGCTGTGTGCGACAACTGTGGCTAGGGAGTCTGCTAGTGCGACGCGGACGGGTGTAGGAAGCAGGGTGAGAGCAATAATGTGCAGTGGGACGCGCCATAGTCTAGCTAGGCACAGTGAGGGATTGCTAGGGGAGTCTACACTTGACGCAACAGGGGATCCTAGACTACACACAGCAGTGGATCCTAGACTATAAACAGCAAGATAATAGGTACTAGCAACACTAGAGTTATCAACATTCAGACCGTACATCGCGTACTTTATCTGAATCTCATCAACATAAAATATCTGAACACCACGACGAAGCAAAGTGGGCCATGGAGGTACCTGCTGCTTGGGGCCGAAATGGCGGCTGTAGAGGTCGTCCAGGCAACAGAAGCAATGGGCGCCAGTGTGGCCCGTGCACCCGCAGACCTGGCCGGCCTGGGGGCCAGTCAGCAGTTGGTACGTGCAGGTTACAGCGCCTCCAGGACCGCTAGCATCTTGGCCCACAGTGGAGCCACGCGACCCCCAGAGAACTGACTGCCTTGGGCCCAACCTCCATGGCCTTCACCACGACCACCACTCCCAGGTCCCGCTAGCCCCCACAACAGCAGCTGATGCTACTGCGACCTCTGATGCTACTGCTGCGGCAACGGCTGATGTTGCTACTGTGGCTGTTGCTGCACAGTCCGTGAGTCTGACTGACCAACAAGCTCTCTATCTGCCCCTGCACCCCCGCCACCCGCCGCTGCCGACGCCCCATGACCCTTTGGCCCCTTGCCCTTGCCCCTCTGTCTAGAGGAGCGACTAGGCGTGGTGACTGCTACAGCGGTCACGGTGAATTTCGCTATAGAGGCAGGGGCCCCAGAAAATGGGAGCTGGGGGACTGAGCAGCCCTGAAAGACAGGGACCGCCACCATGCGAGTGGTGTCATCGATGACATGGAGGCGAAACTCAACTGCCGTTAGGGCGGTGGAAAACTCAGCGACAATGAGAGAGGTGGGAGGCTATGCGTGGAGAGCGTCCCGTGCAGGGGCGAGACGGTCAGGGAGGCGGATGGCAAGGAGGTATAGGGTGATGTAGGTGGGCAGGAAGAAGGTGATGCACTGCTCCTGAGGGCAAGCTGCACGCCAGGGAGCCTAAAGAGAGTGCAGGTGTGCAATTAGGTCGGCTACAGTGGAGAAGGAGGCTAGGTCAGGAAAAACGAACGAAAGCAGGAGACGACCTAGGGTAGTGGAGGAAAGGGTAGATTAGCGAGTGACAACAACATCTCAGATCGCCCGAGCAAGCTCTTGAGTCTCAAAGTGAGTCGGCTCGTCTGAGGGAACGGCTCTAGTAACTACCAGATGTGCAGCTACATCTCGGGACTGCCGGACAGAGAGGGCGGCTAGGGAAGTCTCGTACTCAATCCGCTGCGCGGACGTTACATCAGCAACAAGAGCAGTGGGCTCTGGGGGGGCAGGTAACGTACCCAAAGTGTGGGCCACCAGGGCGTGGCCGTCCTGGCAGACAGACGTGATCTGGCGGCCGAGAGCGACCAGCCAGGCCGAGAAGCCAAGCACGGGACCCTTGGCGTCCTGGCGGAGGACAGAGGCAGGCGGGGTCGACATGGCAGCAGCTGGCTGCGATGGGCAGCGACGGTGGCAACGTCGAGCTGCAGAAGATGGCAGTAAGAGGCTACGGACGGCGACAATTGGTAGCAGCAGTGGGAAGGCCGCGACGGGTGAGGAACTGACCGAGCCGTGACTTCTCGGCACCGCCGAAGTCGTCGCCGCACGTACCGGCTCTCCAGCAGCCCGGATTTCTGCGCGATCTGGCTGGCGACGGTCACGTAGTCCAGCTGCGAGGAGAGGTGTTCATGGGGCGAGGGGGGGTGGGGGGGGATAAGAGACTGGAAAAAATGATAAGCATAAGCACGTGCTTGAGAAGGACGCACCTCCCGCTGCTGGAAGACATTGTTGAGGATGTTGAGCTGCTCAAGCACATCAGCCAAGAAGTGCAAAAAGAACTAGAAACGATAGCTCTGAACAATAGCCAGCAACTATGCGTTCCTCAGCTCCGTGACCATGACCAGCACAGGTGGTAGCACAGCCAAAAGACGGAGGATCGCCTCACCGCGAGAGAGCCATCAGATGGCATGGATCCCCTGCACTTCCAAGTTGGTGTCGTTGAACATCTGCTGCAGGTCCTTGACGCGTTGATGCCAGGTCCATAACGGCCAAGGAACTCTGCAATCTCCTTGATCTCTTCCGCGGCGGCCTTGGCCGCTAGCGCCTCCCTGCAAGTACAAAACGGATGCATTAAAACGTGTCTCACGGGTATACGAAAGCGGAAAACTTTGGAATAACACTTACTGATGGGCGATGTATTGGCTGGACACGAGGTGTGGGACAAGCACCCTTAGTCGAGCGACAAGGCCACGCGTCTTCCCGAGCATGACGGCAGCACCATCAGTACTGATGCCATCAATAGCCTTGATATGAGACAACAATAGCGAGAGCAGCGTGGCAGCGTCAGCCTTGACAGCTGTGAGGAGCCCAAGGAGTTCCGTCACTTGAGGGTTCTCCCGAATGAAGGTGGCAAACACAATCATGTGTTTGCCACGGCAGC